AATTCCACTTAAAAACAACCTGCTTAGCATGTTCTTCATAGAAACTATAGTAGTTATACAAATTATCACAGCCAAAATTTCTTAGTACTAAGAAATTCAAGATTAAATTCATGATTTATATTAAATTTTATTTCAAATTATTTCGGTTACATTACATGAAGGTAGTGTACTATGTCCTTCAGTCAAAATAAATACACCATGCACAAAAAAGATTATTATACTCCTGTGTAAACTGATTCTGTTTTACAGTACTCTTACTGTGACATTCCCTAGTAGATACAGTACATACACATATAAATATACTATGTCTCAACCAAATGCCAGAAAAGTGTTGGTTTCTTTCTGGTATAGCAGGTAAACCACAGGGTGGCAGTAAAAGAAACAATTATCTGTGCAACATAATACAGGTGCTGTAAGTTCCAGGGCTGCTGCAGTACTGCATTTTTTTATAACAATGGTAAATATCCGTATACGTTCACATTAAAAAGGAATGTAGAATTGCCCAGAAATTTTCTTTCTATATCTTCTGAGTCTGGGATCAGTAATTGTAATAAATTAGGCTTTACGTCTGCCCTGGGAGCTGAGGATACCCCCAGATCAAGCCAGCAGTGCCACCTGGCCAGTTATGTGTCACCACTAGAAAACTCCAGGTATTACTCGCGTAATGACATGACCCAGGGTGCCACCAGCTGGGATAATGCTGGGATCACCAGGCTCAGCCTGTACCCTCAGTTAATGCTTTTACTTGTTGAGCCACTTGAGAACCCTGGGGCAGCACATCCGGTCACCTTGCAGGGGGAAGTTAGAATACTAATTTATATAGTCTATAGCATCTGCAATTTCAATTCCTACATGATATGGTTCATTTTTCTATTCAATTTCTTCTTGAAGTGAAATTAACTATGAGATCTTTTGTAGTTGGCTAATTTACTACAATGTGAGAAGGCTTTTAATGTAATGGTTTCAAAATGTTGCTATCATACTGCATACTCCATAGCTAGGGTGAAACATTCTCTGGATACAGATACAATAAGGAGATTAAGACTGTAAGTCAAGATAAAATGATTATTTTACTATTGGTGTTTATCATACAGTGAAAAGCGTTTGATATATGTCCTTGAAACTCAGACTCAACTCATGTTCATGCTCTTGGAAGTATTAAATTCCAAGCAGCCAGAAAAGAAAAAACACCATCTTGTTCTAATGCATGACTCTTCACAGCTCTGGGGCAATTACCCTGCCTAATAAGCAAGCTAATGAAATGTGTGTACTCTAGAAAGTCCAATTCCAGTCATTAGGGCACATGCTTTTCTGAAAGAAAAGGAACAGTGTCCCAGTGTATCTCCCAGACTCTAATTTTCTGAAGAGTCAGTTTCTTCAGTGGACCCATCACTTTCAGTTTCAATTCTCTTCCGGTGACAGAGAGATTTCCGAGGAGACGCCTTCCTGACTGGTTCCTTGTGTCCAGTTGTACTGTTGCCACTGTTAGATGTCGGGCTCACTGAAATCTGAGCAATTCTAGAAGAGATGGAAATGGGAAAGTGGTTAGAAAATGTTTTTATACCACTGTAAGACCTCCTGTATTCCTTGTATTACTGTGAAAAATCCAATGAATGACTTCAAAAAGCTCCTGCAACTTTACAACATACAATTTTATGTAATTATAAAACATAAATGTCATCAAAACAGAAGGAAAAAAAACATGGATTTGGCAGATGCCTGCCAGTTCATAAGGCCCAGGTTAGCAGTTTTTTAAATTAATTCTGATCAGCCAAAAAATCAAACAGATGTTTTAAATCAGTTGATGTTTTGTGAAGTGAGAAACCTCAAAACGTTGTAAACTTTGCCTTATTTTCCCATTCACACCCAAAAGAAGTCTTCCTACAGACTTCTAGTAAAAGTCTTTATAAAAAAAATATTCCAAATTTTGACACTACAATAAAAGTACATATAAAATAAAATTGTTAACAAAAATGTTCAGTAAGAATGTTTTTATTGTCCATGGCTATTTAAAGGGTTGTGTCAAGTTGCGACTTACAGTTTCTCCAGCTCTTGGTCCATTTCAGGATCTATGAGTAAATCCATTTTGTTTGGCAGAGAACCTGGAAATGACAGAAGTGACATAAAGATGAAGGTATTGGTTTTCCATTCTGCTGTGTGATTAGTTATTTCCTGTTACTTCATAACCACAGAGCATAGAGTATTTACCCATTCCTATCAAGAATCATTAAAAAATATCACTTTACCATTTCAAATGGCAAATCTGGATATATTAAGATTTAGAAAAATTCTCATTAGCTTATCCTTCACTTGTTGTAAATGACAAATTGCCATTGCAATGGCCTGATCCTCTTAATTAGTAAGAAACACTAATTAGAAACATTTGGCTTGGTAGTATTCATGATAAAAGGAAAAACATGTATACTGCACTTCACCAATGTTCAGACTGCAAAGCAATTGCTGTTGTTTTACATCTGTATGAAGAAAACACTTCAGTATATTTCAAAATCCCATTTTGATGAAACCCCCGTTTGATCTTTGCACATTAGTCATTCTTTCGTCCATCCCTCCTCTGTCCCAAAGTTTCTTATTCCTCGTGAGGGTCATGGCACGTTCAAGCCTGTCCCCAAAACTCATGGCACAAAACATCCTCTGGACGGGATGCCAGCTCATAGTCGTCATGCTAACTAATGACATTTAGAGTATTGAAGGGAGTGAAATTATACATTTTTAAGTAATAATGAAAAGTCAGTCAAAAGGAACATTTTTACAAGAAGAAGCAATTATTCCTTAATAGTGGCTATATAAATTATAGCTGTCAGGACAACATCTACTAAAATTACTTCAGCTGTTCTAAGCCTAATAGTGTAGATGACAAACTGCTTAAGAATCCTACAGAATCGTTACTTGTGGCTGATTAATAGCCCTTTAAATTAAATATAAGACATATTACCTAATTCGGTTAACAGTTTTAATATTGGATGACTGTGCATTCCCTCCCAAATGCAGTTTTGAGGTGAGAATTACATCTTGCTATTAATCCTGCAATCCAGTCTTGCTCTCAGTATAAGAACCAATAAAACAGCATTCTTAAACTTTGTAACAGAAGTCTCTACAATTAAGTGCACTGTTATTAAAACATTTAATAGAGACCACATCATAAAGACTAAGATATTTTAAGTCAAAGGGCAAGGTTTTACAGCAACACTGATAAAACTGAGGATTTGAATGAAGATCACCTTACAGATCCTTTAATTTGAGTGTTGGAGACATTTAATCCCCTAAGCACTGCAAAGCAGTACCTTCTATAAACTGTTTCTCAACGTGTTTTTCGGAAAAGACTAAAAGGCCTTTAAAACTGTCATTGGTTTCGCAGGCTGTTAGCACTGACACCACAATCAATCTCTCAGCACAGATTAGTTGCACCAAGCCCTTTTGGTCAGAGTTCTTTCCTAAGAAAACACGTTTGACATCAATGTGCTTTGCCAGATTATGTCACTGTTGGCATGGGTGTATGATCCAAAATATAAAAGAAAAGCCGATGAATTTATTTCGTCTGTCACTTTAAACTTAAAACTTACAAAGTGTTTGTTTCTTAAAATGCATATGGGTGTGGTAAGAAAGATTGCGGCTCTTACCATGTGATCTGACAGGTATCTATTGAAAGCCTCTTTCAATGTTAAAGAGTTTTATCTGAAGATTTATAAATGGTTAAAATGCACAATTTGTAGAGTACTTTGTATTGCATTCATTAAAGGTCTGCTGCTTCATCAACAGAGTATTTCAGCATGCAGCATTCTAAATATAGTTGTTAAAATGGTGCAAATTAAAACCTAAACTACACAATGGACTTTACTTTACATGCTGTATGTCCCTTCAACTTGACCGATACAAAAGTCACCACCTGAACAATATGCCATAGATGAGTGGCTTTCCCTGAAGAGGAAAAAATAAAACTTTCTTTCAGCAAGTCTTTTGGAGAGCTTGGATCAGTAACAAAATTACTTCCTAAGAAATCCTTCCAAACAGACCTAAAGCAATAAATCTTTATGTTATAAAGTATGAAAGATTCCAAAAATGGTAAAAGAAACCATCAAGGGCTTCTGGATTAACACATCAGACATTTATGAACCATGTGCCTGTGCAAACTTTCTGATGTGTTCGAAGTGAAGGCACATTCTTGTGAAAGCCATTCTATGCAGCTGACAAGCAAAATATAATTTTCTTCTCTGGAAAAGATCATGGCTATACTGTAAATCACAAATAGGATCTACCTACAAAAGCACCAATTCAGATATGAAGATTCACAGTGATTTAATTGATGGCCACCTGAATTATATTTTAAACATTATATTCTTAAGCGATATATTTACATATTCTTATGAGAATAAATCTTTTAAGACTGGACACAATTTTAAAATGTATAGTAATATTTTCTGATTGTTTCCTAAGATCTGTATAGAGCTTTACTATTGTTCTCTGTACTTTAGCACTAACAAGCATCATTCTGGAAACTTGCTAATTCACACTCTCAGAAACAAAATCTTCACTGTCACATTGCTTTACTACAGTATTGCACAACGGGGTCTTTTGTGCTGCTTTATGTGTTTTCATAATCCTGAAGACATAAATGACATATTGTGCATTGTTTCTTTGCTGATAACATTCATTTCATAACAACCTTATTGCTTCATTGCTGCACTGTAGTATTTTATGACAATTGAACTGACCTTGAAGGTTTTTTGATTTGTTTGGTTGCCCTCTAAAGGAAATATAGTTCTAGACAAACTTCTAGCCTTGTCTGCGTTCCTGCTTCATGCTGCCCAGCATCTACATCTGTAAGACCATGCATATGTGCCTGAAGTTATATTCTTTATCAAAGCTTCTGAGCTTTCTGTGTATAATAATGCCTTTCCCCTGCCTTCCTACCCTCTATTGTATGTGTGCAAAGAAAAAGAACCTGTCTAAATATTTAAGGGGGGTTTAATTAATGAGCTGAAAGATGTATAACAATGTCTTCAATACATTATAAAGCACACATACATAATACACTGAAAATAATCAACTTAATCCACCTTGCTGTGCATCTGGGGAAATCCTTAGATCTTTCCAAAATGAAGATGTCTTTGGAAATCAATAAATGTCTTATTTTCAAAAGCCCTCTGCTAACACTACATAAATTATATCTAAATGGCTTTTGTGTAGATAGAGAAGGCATTAACACTGAGACAATGAAACCGTTTTAGTGCCAAAAACAGGCATTCCTGTCTTTTTTTTTCACCAGCAACTCAAAGCAGCCTGCTTAAGTTTTTTTTTCCCCAAATAGAAACAGTAACAAACAGCATATTAGTCACAACTTCAAGGTCTGCCTCTGAATTGAACTGGCATCTGATCAGAATTATTTAGTTTTTAAATGTAGAATGGCAAATCAGGATTTTATTAAGGATAAATATTTTTAATCACTTCAGTTCTTAATTTGAAGAAGGGGCTTGGAAATTACCATGCCAGGTTTTGGGTTTCAGTTCTGGTCTCACTTAGGATTATTGTTTCAATGACTTGGTCTAATTTAACCGATGGATTTGCATATCACTAAGAATGCTTATTATGAGTGTTTTTGATAGTGCCATTTTCATCTCTGTCAGCACAACATTAATTGATAACCCAGTAAAAGGTGTTTTCAAAGCTATATAGAGTAACATTTTTAATACAAGTTTGTGGCCAACTGAAATTAAAACCAACCTGCCACTGAAGGCCATTAAAGACCTCTGATCATTGTAAATAGACAGACTAGGTGAATAATCCTTGATTGATAATGAGTTTGAAGACACATTCTCACATGGGTGTGATTAACTAATTGTTTGGTCTAAAAAGTGCTAACTGAGGAACATGAGAATGTAGGTGCATCCCACGTTCTTATTGGTTGGGCAAATGCAATTAGCTGTTTAGGGGGCAGCCTCCAGCCTTTAAAAGCCTGCCAATAAAGATTCTGGGAGTTTTTGAGTCTAATAACTGAGAAACAGTTGTTTTATGTGGGTTAAACCACTTGTGTACATTTGGGCCTATATTTCTGGTCTGGTAAACACAAGTGTCATTTTGATAGCTGTCAGATCTTTCATTCGTCCCATAAGGTCCAGCCATGAGTGGCTTTTGTAGCTGAGTTTGTAGCTGGTATACTTACCAATTTCACAATTAATTCCCTCGTGCTTTGCAAGAGCAATCAGAAACCCATAGAAGGACACGCGCTGCACCTGCTGAAGGATCTCCTTGATAGATGATGTTGATGGGTGGCTGTTAAAGACATGAAACAGTAGTAAAAGATGACCATTACAAAGGTAATCTTTAAGTCTTTTGGTGTGAAAAGGTGTAATGTGTCCTTTAGTAAAATAAGAATGATAAATATAAGCAGAGGAGACTGAGCACAAAAAGCAAGATTTCACACAGGAACTACTGTAGATTAGCCATTCATGGTAAAATCCTTGTAGCAACAGAACAGCTACATGTTACATTCTATTATGTTAATTTATCTTGAACAAGGCAGTCTGACAATTCTTTTTCTGAATTAATGTATATACAGTAAGTGTATATACACTTGGCCATGGTATAGTGTGCTTTTAACTGTTATTACAATATTAATGAACAAACACTTCCAAGTCCTTTATCTAAACTGATATAGAAAGCAGGCTACTGGATAAAATATACAGATTCACTTTATTTTCCCCCTTTTAACTACTTTAACTCAATTTACACTTTAAAACTATAATTGCCTTGTGCTAAGCAGATGCAATCAAGAACAAGAGACTAAAAAATAATAATTAGCCTATCACTTTTAAGTCCCCACAAGTAAAACTACATTTTTCATCTAATCACACCTGCTTTTGTTTACACACTTATGCCAGATGTATGTAAAGGATAATAAAGTAGTTTGATGGAAGAAAAAAATCTGATGGGTCATTTTGTTAATCATGAATTCCAGTCTGAAGGCAATAGAAAAGACTATTGTATAGCAGGGCTGTATCTAATTCATAACTGTACAAAAGGCAAACTTCAGATGGCTCAAAGCCTAGCAAACATTGCCACTACTTTAAAGTTTTATGGTCTGATAAGCAGAGTATAGCCTATAAAATACAAATAGATATGGCTTAACCTAAGGTAAAAGAATATTTAACTGTTTCGAGAGAATAATGTGCTTTTCAAAAGATACAATGAACTTCAAAAGATCAAAAGGAAAAAACAGGCTTTGAAAATCAAAGTTCTTTTGTCAAGAAGTACTGGTACAAAGACCTTCATAGTACAGTAAGTGACAGGTGTGTTTGCATTCAAAAACTTTACCCAGCCTCCTATTAACCGGTTAGACGTGCTGTAACACTTAAAAACTAAATCTAAATTTCAAGCATGAGTAAGTTGTTAATTCTTCTAGATTTTATTGTATGTACCAAGTATTATTCTGAACTGTTTCTACTTTTACTGTTCTTGGTCACATCTTTTAACAATTAAAGTAGGGAAAAACATGAAATAAAAGGATAAAAGCAGAAATACAGGATTACGTTTTAATGTCTACTATACATTTTAAGATTTTATTTATAAAACAATTTGATTTTGAAGAATTCTTACCTATGCTTGTATCTCTCACAGAGAGCTTCTATACATCCAAAAAAAGTAAGAGAGTCCACCACATCCTGAGGTGTAGTCTCAGTAGTAGCCACAAGGGGAAGCTGTTCTACTGAAGTAGAGGTTGGGACGATCACAGTATTAGGGCTTTTCCCAGACAGCAAATCTTGGTATATCGCTGCAATACTCTCGAGAAATTCTAGAATTTAACAGATCATATAAGGAACTTTTAATAGGCTCGTATACCTGACAGAAAAACACAACATGCATTGCAGTTAAATGAGAATTTCGGCAAGACATTTGTATAAGACACTATAATCAAACTGCCCTTTTGTATTCATCTTAGGGATCTTGAAAGGTTTTTTTTTCTACTTCCAGCTTGTTTTCATCCTGCCAAGACACACACATTTTTTTAATTGTAAAAGTTCAGTTTTCAAAATCTTGAAAGATACTACTGTATGACTGTCATCGTGAAAAGCAACAGAACAAGACTATCCTTTCACTGATCTGACCTAAAAGGTCTGCAGATGTGTGTTTGATATATGTCCAGGTAATCATAATTTTGTTGGACCGGCAAGGTTCATATGTTTAAAAAAATACAAATTCATTTTAGTGTTCTGAAACAGTACACAGACCAAAAACTTATTCTGTCTGGCTTGATTTATTTTCAGTAGAGAGCGTACCTTAATATCTAAACATTTACTTCTGCATTTTGAACACACAAAAATATAAACGTATTTACTGACAAGAGACTTTTATTGGTAAATACATACAGTATACTTAAGAGGAAAACTTGAACAATAACCCTTTGAGCTACAGTTTGACCAACATGAATTCCGGGATTTGGATCAAGGTTTCATTCATACTTTGAAAGTGAAAACAAAGTCACATCTTCAACGAGACTAACGACAATTTGAATGGTCTTTAAGATTTCAAAGCATTTTTAAAGCATGCCACAGGGTTTTTTTTTTAAGAGTTTCCTTTTTAGAAATAGGCCACTAATAACACTTTGCTACTCTGAAGCATATTTCCAGCTTCTTTTTCCAGTATGGAAAATGTTGGCTAATCTGGCCAGTTCTGCTCATGATGCTTCTGTACAGCAAGCACCTTCTTCAACAAGCCTCATAAGTGTAACAAATCTAATAAGCAGAGAGTTTAAGACGGACCTTCCTCACGTTACCACAACATTTGAGATGAAAGAAGTGAGTAGCAATGGGATTTAAACACTAGTCCCCAGCAAAAGAATGTAAGTCAAGCCTGTTTCTAAAGGATCAGACCTGCTCATGAGGCCACTGCTTGTGCTTTTATCCTGTTATATAGTCAGGATGCAGCTTTGCTTCTTCCGGCTCACTCTTAAGTGTGTTCTCCTTCTTGGCGAGCATTAAAACATGGACAAAAAATGAGATACTCCTGAAATACTCACAAGGTTAAATCGACAAATGGAAGAGAGCATTTCGACATGCTGAGTATATTTCCTTTGTAAGTTTAATGCAGTGGGAGGTTGTTAATAATCACTCTGTGGAACCTGGGACAGACAGCAGGGCCTGTCAGCTGCAGTAGGTCTGAGAGAAACACTGTGTACATTTATATCCAAACTAAACAGAATTCCAAATCTCGCAGAAATAACTCAAGGAATTTCAGGGAGAATATTCAATGTGTAGACACTTGTGGTTTTCTAAATCTCCATGTATTTATTCTGTCCACCTGCTTTTGAGAACTTCTGTTTACTGACACAGCTAGCATTTATTGGAAAGACATCTTTAGATTCATAGCAAAAGAAATATGTTGCAGCTTCTATTGGTTTCTCAGAGAGCTTAGAACTTTGGTGAAGATTAACAATGGTCAAGAGTAGCTGAACATGTATTCTGAAAAGCAGAGAGATTCTTTTCAGATTGTGTATATTTTTTATATTTTATGTATTTGAAGTAATAGATAAAAAATGGCAAATGTGAAGTTCATTGAAATGCAAAAGATGTCTTAGGATGGCAACTACTCAAAATGATTAAAGAGAGCACATCACCAGGGGTCCATCTAATTGGGTCAGAATTTTTTTTGTAACTTAGAATGACTGAAAAATATATGAAAGTTTACAGTTTAAGTACACTGTAGGTGTAGGTTGAAAAAAAAGAACTGACACATACAGGCCTATTTCACACCAGAAACAGAAGAAGCAAAAGAAGAGTGGATAAGATAAAAGATGCTTTGATAAAGTTTTCTACAAGCTTGGAAATATCTAACTTGAGATCCTGAACCGTGTACTTTCTTATATTCTTTTATTCTTATTTCTGTTGTCTTTAGATAGTACAGATATAGTTAAAAAGAACAATATTTCTATA